TGATGTTATGATGTAAAGGGTTAAAATATTCTTTTTTATACCCTTCCCTTGTTTACATATATAGTTCTCTAAGGGAATTGAATCTGGAAGGAAATCAACTTGGAGCCTTGCCAGTTGGAGCACTGCATCTGAACTTGAAGTATGTCAGAATACAAAATAACTTCACACATCCACTAATGTGGCGAGAGATAGCTAAAAATCAGCCTCAGGTAAGACGAGAAGTACATAAGGAAAGTTTTGAGATGAAGGCACGAGCTAAATGAATAATTTTTCAAAAATATTGAAGAAAACCAGGCGAAAAGGTTGTTTAACCTGTATTGAAGGTAGATGTTTTTTCTTTGTCCCAGGTCTGTTATCTTTCACTATCTTCCCTAACCTCACGGGTGCAATTTCAGTTGTTGAACTGAGGCGAGCGCGAAGTGCGAGTCACGCGTAAGGGGAGTTTTGTGCTCCTTCTCTCGCTCGTGACTCTCAGTTCCAGTTCGCCTCGCGCTTGCCTCCGTTCGACTGAAAAATCTAAAAAAATTACGTCCATTCTGCAGGCTATTCGAAATTTTAAGAGGCCGAATTGAACCAGAATTGAGTTTGGACCATGGAAGTTTACATTTATTTACAAGAAGCCAATTCCGCTTCAGTAGTGATGGACTATACATTCTGAATCTGAGTTTGGTTTGTTTTTCGTTGTAGCGGCTGGGAGACTTGGCTGCTTTAGCTGTGTTTGGACAAGGACTACATATTAAGAAACGCGATTTACCGCCGGTGATTAAAAATATTCTAGAAAGGTAAGACTGTCCTTGGTGATGTTGATACTAGCTCTTGTAGAACCAGTTTTTGTTTGGCAGAAAAACGTTTAAAAAAAACTTGCACATGCGGAAATCGTACACGTAACAAATTTCCTCGATATGTTTTCAAATTCAAGTCTCAGAGCGCGCGCGCTTGCTGGTGGCGCATCACCACGTTTTTTTTTTTCTAGTTTATTGATTGATTGATTTTTTTTTTCCAGTTATACTCGCTGTGACTGTTGTGACGGTCCAATGTTTGGTCGCGGAGTAAGGGTAATCAAAGCCCCGTCCTCCATCTTTGGCGTTAAAAATCTTCCATTTCTCTTCAACGCCTGTACACAGACTTGTAGGCGGCAGTTCAGTAGAGCTTCTGACTCGCTTAAACTCTGGATGCAAAGGAACGCACCGCATACTTTAACAGAGTTATAGAAATAAGACTTCGAGCCAAATGCGTCCATAAGAAATACTGTGATTAATTATATATGTGACGAGTTAGGTGGATTCACAAAGTGAAGATCTTTCTCTGGTGAAGTTGCATATTGGCTGCGATATATTTTCATGGACAAAAAGTTGAGTTACAACGTAAGCAAATATTGACGGACCTTCTGAAGGACCAACGTCACCAGTTTTCCATCATGGAAAATTAAGCTAAATCCGTCTTAATCTTCTCCAACTTCAACCATCCTTGTTTCTGTTTTAATTAAGCTTCCCATCTGGTATATTTTTGGTTTCCATCGCACTGAAAGTAATTTTTAAAGTCAAAAAGTGTATTGTATGTACTGTAGAATGAGCAGTTTAGTTCATAGCAACGATTAACGCTGAAATGAACAGCGATATTTGAGTCTTTGTTTTACTTCATATTTGCATAGGTTAGCGGACGAAAACATTTTACGAGTTTATTCCTTGCGATTGTTACTTTTCTTCAAGATTAAACACTCGATAAAATTTCGGGCGACATGACTATGAATTTCGGCCAACATGACTCTGGTTCCGGGCGACATGACTTCGGGCGAGATGACTTTCGGGCGACTTGACCGGTTACCCTTAGAGTGCGAGTGATACCGACGTAACAATCAACTGAAAGAGATTCCTATTAATGCAAGTTATACTGACGTTACAATCGATCGAAACAGATTCCTTAGAGTGCGCGAGTTAGTAACGGAACAACAGTCGGAGAGTTTGACGTCACAAGTAAGATGATTGGTTTTGTATAAAAAATACATTTGATGCACGTGTAATGCATGTACCTATTCTATGAATTTCCTGCCCAGTCCCCGGCCTGTCAATTGACCAATGAACAAACTTTGTCCCAACTAAATCCTCCCTTTTTCATAGTTTTGGCATCGACAAGAGCTATTCGATCATTAACCCCTTTGCACTTAACACCATATTAAAATGACTGAAATCACTGTTTATTAAGCGTTAGAAAATGTATATTATTATAAGGATAGCGTGAGTAATTTGCATGCTATTTCAGTTTGCATGAAGACGCGCTGTCGGAAATGAGACAAAAGAATCTGCTATGTTCCGAAACTTCACGTTTCATTTATAAAATCGACTTGATCTCCCTCTCTCTCTCACCGTTTTTTTGTCTCACGCTCTGATCTCTCTCATTTTTAATATATAATATGATCCTATTGTTTAATCATCTGTCACTTATCGCAAAAAATCAACCGGAAATCAATTAACGCTGAATCTCTCACACACTCCCCTGTTTTTTTTCAACAGGGGAAAAACACTAGAATGGCACACTCGATAAAATTTGAAATTCAATGAACGAAACGGAAAGTTAGTCCAGTATATCAGTTCAGTGTTCCTAAATATCTCTAATCAGCATCAATGTTCGCGTCTTGAATGCGATAACGAGCAGCTACCGCTGCATCCCTCCTGGGCTTGAATTTCAGGGCCTCGGGGTTGAGTTGCGGAGGAGCCTTTACATTCTCCCAATCGCAGGACAGCTCCAGTGGGTAAAGGTGTTGTACTGCCCGTTTGAGTGTTCCTTTCCCCGCCCCGTCCCTACATGCTTCACGACATTTCTTGGCGCGTTCACGTGCTCTGGAAGTCCTTGCTCCCATTTCTTCCATTTGGCTTGTAAGTCACTTGGTAGGGGGCTATCCCACGCGAACTTCGTGTCGCAGGCATCTCTGAAGAGCATTTTTCCAGAGAGGGTCACTGGTGAAGCCAGACCGAGTGGATCGTAGATTTTTGTGACTTTTCCCAGGATACCCCTTTTTGTCGGCTCAGCGGTTGAAATTGTTAGAAGTAAAATCTCTGACACACGTCGTTTGTTATAAGAGTGACACTGCAGAGACTACCAAGCTGTCAATCTTCTTGTATCGTCATCGTTCCATCTCAGCCGAATCACATTAGATTACGCATGACAGTTCCTGTCCACTAGGTATGCGCCTTCGAGTTATTTGCGCAGGTACAAAATCATTTTCCACCTTAAATTTCTTATTCTTACATTCGAGATAGGCCAGAACAGAAACGAGATTGGTAACATAAAAATCATAACTATCCTATTGACGGAATATTATTCACATCTAAAGGGGTATCTTAAGAGAAAATTGCCTTAGAAGACCGTTACATAACAACATAATGATTACAAAAGTTGGAGAAGAAGAGGCGTTCACAAGTACCACCCTCAAGTTGCTACGTGCTGGTCATAATAACTATCTAATTGCAAAACGTGAAGGTATCACACGTTTACACCTTTAAGAACGAGAGGTGTCGAACGTGACCTTTTACCAGAGAGATTCACTCTTCCTGGACTAACAAATTAACTTAATTAATAACATAGCTTTCCCAAGACACTATCACGAGTTCTAATTACCATAGAAACTGAACAACTGTTTCTATGTCAACTTCACTATTATAACGAGGAAAACGTGACCAAACTCTACCTTTAAGATAAGGCTTCCAAAAGGAATAAAAAGTAATCAACCTGCCTTTTTATAATTTTTTTGCAGGAATGGTTTAAAGTAATACAATATTTCCAGTCCTTTCCTCGACACCAATATAAGGAAACTCTTGCGATATTTCAGATTAAATATAGTTGTATTTTTATCGTTTAACAAAATCGGGAAGCTGACTTGAATTTCGTCCTTTTCTTTGTCCCAGGGGACTCCCAGAAGTTTTGATTCGCCCTTTCTGGTTCCCAGTTGTTGTTTGACGAAACCCTGACTTTCTTCATCTGAAGTCGCAGTTTCAACTTCTAACTCCCAATTGTTGGAATGCCGCTTGTGCAGCTTGAAAGTCGCCTCACCAAAGATTGTTGTGGCTGTCATCTTGATTTCTAACGCTTGTTTTGTTGTCTCCCCGCCACTGATTAAATCATCTACGTACATACTGCGCTCTATCTCCTCCACTAGTTCCGGGTTCACCATTTTGTATCGCTGTAGATGTTCTTTGATAACTGCGGCCAAGAGGAATGGAGATGGTGCCAAACCAAAGAGTACTTGAGTGAATCGCAAGGTTTCTGCCTATTTCTACCTATCTCTCACTGTTTTTTTGTCTCTGGTCTCTCTCATTTTAAATATATTATATGATCCTATTGTTCAATCATCTGTCACTTATCGGGAAAAATCAACCGGAAATCAACTAACGCTGACAGCGCATTTAACTTCCGTGATGCCTTGAAATGAATACTTTCTACCTGCTATCAAAACAGAAAGTTAAAATTTCAACCAAAACCTACATTCTTGTAATTTTATGGTATTTCAGAGTACTGGCAATCTTTATATTAAAAATGTTCCTCTCACGGGCCTTAGAGGACATATCTGAACAGATCTGGATCCAGTCCAGTGCAACCCTGTCCTGAAACATGCCGTGAGGAAACTGGATTCTAAAATGAAGCCATTTCTTGTTTACTAACGCAGCTCTAACGCAGCAATTTCATTGTAACCACTACTAACTCGAATTTTCAAAACGGCTTAATTCAGAATAATCTTCTGTACGATGTCATCTGGTGAACACTTTTCGCTAAACACTTTTTCAGGCACATTCCCTTTCTAACAGAATTGTTCCAGAATGAGGTAAGAAAGAAAGTTTCAGTGTACAGCTCTGAATATTAAAAGTAATAGTGTTTCAATCTAGGTACGCTTTGTACTTTCTTGCTTAATTTTTTCAGTCGATGACCTAATGTCGTGGATGAATAATAAGATGGTCTATTACAAATGACTGGAGTGACAACATACGACTTCTGAAATTGATTTCACTTGATTTAATTATTTAGCTACCTTCAAGGTGATTCTTCAGAAAAGAAGTTATGGGACAATTTTTGGTAAACTTTACTTGAATGTTCCTTATCAATGTCTGTTTCGAAAAATACAAAAAGAGAGATAGGTCATCTCGCTTGTTTAGGAGATATATGCACCAAACTTACCCCATTTATGCCTATACTGGCACTAATCATGCCTGTCATTTCATCGGTTCACTGTACATTTTGCTGCTGCTGGAAAAAAGCTTGATAGGTAGTAAGTCTCGAGTGTATGGAACAATTTAATATATAATTTGAGGGAATATCACGCAAATTTAAACGATATCGACTCAAAATGTTCTTAGAGTCATTCCTTTCAGGGTCATAATTTGAAACTATGGGAAATAAAACATGGTCACTTTGCTCATTTAAGAGGTAAAGTCCATAGCACCTCTTTACCTGGTCCATTGATTGATAAACAATACAATGTTCTTGGAATGCATATATGCTTATTGGCTTGATTATGTGATATTATGCACAGTACATGATGTGCAGGGCTAATTACTGAGGAATCACCTTAACCCTTTAACTCGTAAGATCTCATTAGTAATTCTCCTTACTGTCAGCCTTATAGTTCTTGTGATGAAAGTTTGGAGAATTTGGTATTGGATCAACTAGTAATTCCTATATTAATATTTTTCTTTATTCTCATCACTTGTCTGCTTGATATTGTACTGATATTGTAAGGAGAAATTCTGTCTTGGTCACTCATGGGAGTTACAGGGTAAAACTAGTCCAATTTGGCAGGGATAACTTACATGTGATATATATGTAACCTTGACATCTCAAGGTCTCACATGGCTAAACAATTATGAGGTTTGAAATGATTTGAATTGAGGCCAGTCATCTGTACATGTGTTGCTCTGTGTCAGAGTAGGCAAGATTTCTGTGTAACCCATAGATCATTATACACACAGTTATAAGAACATAGAAACATTGGCATAAACAGTGCACTGATTTTAGGACTACATCTTTAAAGTATGGGGTTATAGGGAAATCTTTCCTTTAAGTGTTTGACTGTTCATCTAAAGGATTCTTTAAATCTCCTTGACCTGAGACATTTCCTTTGTCTTATGTACTTCAAATTTGATGATGATGATGATCAGGGTGTTCATCATACATTGTCACTTATCTAACTTTTAGGACTTTGGCTTTGTCATAGAATAATTGGGGGTTATATTTCTCCTCAAAGTGCTTGAGTGTTTATATGAAGGATTCTTTAACTTGTCTGAAGCTGAAATATTTCCTTTGTCATATGCTTTTGAAATACAATGAGAGTTGATTGAGTCAAAGAGCAGATTCTTTCAACCATTACACTCCCAAGATCTCATTAGTAATTCTCCTTACTTTCTACCCTAAAATTCCTATGATGTTAGTTTTGAGAATTTGTTATTGGATCAACCAATAATCCCCTAATTAATACTTTTAATATTAATTAATATTATTAATTAATACTTTTCTTTCTTCTCATCACTTGTCTCCTTGATTTAGTTTTGATATTATTATCATGGTAAATTTTCACTCTTGAAAGTTAAAAGGTTAAATCTGATGGGGTCTTCATCACACATTGTCACTTTCTTGTAAAAACTCAGATAGGATTTTTTTTATATCCATTATTTGGTCTCACTAATTTTTCATAGAAAACATCTCTTTTGTGATAATAACAGTGATGATGATAATGATGATTCTTCCACTTTTTTTGTTTTTGTTTTGTTTTTTTACCTAAAAAGACTGCTGAGGTGTACATGGAGATCTTACTTTGTGATAATGAAGATGATGATGGTGTTGATTCTCTTTGTTCTCATCACTTGTCTTCTTGATATTGTTTTGATATTATAATTAGAAATTCAGTCATGATTTCCATGAGAGTTAAAGGGTGAAATGTATAGGGGTCTTCATTACACTTAGAGACATTTCTTTTCTCTTAAAAACTCAGAGAGGTTTTGTGTTTCATCCATTTGTTGGTCTTGGTGATTTGTCATAGAGAAAACCCCTTGTTTTTAGGGAAGTTGCATTTTCATCACTTTTGGTAGCTAAATGGTTCAGTGCTGAAAATGAATTGTGAAAGTTGGCTGGTATGAAGTGGGATAAGGAGGAGCATCAGGGATAGGAGAACCTAAGGAAAACCTAGAGGAGGGAGGCTGGAGGAACTATGGCTTGTCTCCCCCCTCCCCCACCTTCACCATCATTTCACTTTCAAACGGCACACAGTCCTCAGCACAAATCTCTCTCCACAGACTGTTGCTCTTCAGCCCCCATACTACATCAAAATTCAATGTGGTCATTCCAATACAGGGGTAGTTTGGTGATGAAGTTTCCAAGCTGTTGAATACAGTTGGCCATGAGTCAATGTAAAAATGATAATCAATGGCAAAACACAAGGATAGATTAATGAAGGCCAAAACATTAAAAGAGGTAGTGAAAAAAGAAAATCAATGTGACACGATTGTGAACTTGTGGATAAAACTCTGCAGAAAACAATTGTTTAGTGTATTTTGTCAGACCAAGTCTAAGGCTGCAAAATAAATCTGAGAATTAACTCCAACAATCCAATTCCATTCTCAGTTTTATTTATTTACTCTTATCTTAGAAAAATAATAAATTTCACTTAATTAACAAAACTGAAAAATCAGAGAAAAATAAAAAATGCAAAAGTACTTCAAATAAGAGAAAAATGTAAAGCGACCACAGGAACAAAAGCCTTCAAGTTGGCCAAAGAATAAGTAGGCCTCCTAAGAATCAATAAGTTTTTAGGAGCCACTGACCATTAGGAACAAAAGTCTGCCATCAGTTACAAAATCTCATCACTAATTATATTATTCCTAACAGATCCTTTTGATGAACCATTTTAAAACATCATATCAACAACTTCTTTAGCATTTACCTTTTCCTGAAAGTTCTAAAAGACAAAAATATGACAATACTGACCTCCCCACCCAACCCCCTAAGGTAGAGGGAAAAAATGCATAGAAAACTGCCACTTGTACAACATCGTACACAACAAAGCCATGCATTCCTGGTTTGTGATTTTGTTTTCCTTCAGGTATTCCAACTATCTTTTCAATAATATCAGTTATCTTTCTGCTCTGAATTCTGGGAGATTGTTTCATTGATATCTTAGGAATTGTTTTCACTCATCTGTTTGACTTTTGCAGTAGTATTTTGTGCAATGCTTGTTCTCCTTTTCTTCTGTTTTTTACATAACTCACAAAACAAGTTAGTGTTTAGTTTTAGAGTTTCCCGATTATGATCCAAAGGAAACTTTACCAAAATTCTCATATTAATAAACATTTAGTTAATTTCATGCTTTCAATTTTTTCATCCTGATTCATTTTAGTCCCCTTAATAGGTCTGAGGGCTGAAATGCAGCTTTCAGTGTCACTAGCTTTTGATTCAGCCTTATTTGAAAGAGCATTCAAAAATAACCATTTATCTACAATAAAATGAAAAATTTCTGCTCAAACTAATACCAGTGTCCATTCAAAAACAATGTGCAGGAAAGATAATCTTTGTGCAGGATCAGTTGTTACTCTGTTTCTTCCCTGCTTCATTGTTGTCCTCCTTGTGTTCCTCTTTCCTGAAACAAACATAATACAATTTCAACTCTAAAGCATTATACAGATCAGAATTTCTAAAAGATTCAAAGTAGCCAGACATACAGCTCAAATAGCTATCAACTTCAAAGTCATTAGGTAGCTTATATCTCTCAAGTTGCTTTCGTTGCATTTACTTTGGCCTGTCTATCATCCTCTTGGGCTTCCGTTTGAAGAATAATTTCTGAAGATTTCGCACACAAAAGCAACTTTGATTCAAGGCCAATTTTGAAAATGATTCATCAAAATCTTCTGGTTCTGTGGGGGAGGGGGGAGGGGGGTCTAAAGAATATTATGGAGCCTTACAGGGCCCCGGGTTCAGGTGAATTTTACTGGGAGACAACCAAAATCCTCAAGCAGCCCCCAACCCTCCCTCCCCCCCCCCCCCCCTGCTTAACAGTCCCTAAGATAGCTAATGGAAATTTCTTATCAGAACTAGACCTACCCGATGTATGTAAAATCCAACGTCACGTCGTCTCCCATCAGCACAAATGGAGCCCATTGATTAGGTTTGGGAAAGCCGTTGCTTCTCAACCATTTTACGGCCTGATGAAGAGATTCACTGGCACTTTCTCCACGTACAAGGTGTTTGTAGAAATGATTCATGAGCTGCTCCGTTGCTTCGTCTTCTATGGCCCACGATGCTACCAACACTGAACGTGCACCGGATGCTAAGAATGCACGAGCGATTCCAAGAACTCCTTCGGCTTTGACCAATCCACGCGCACTGTGACAACAGCTCAATACAACCAGTTTTGCTCGCACTTGAACTCCGAAAATGTCGGACATTGTCAAGAGGTAGTCTTCTTCTTGTGGAAAACTGTTGGTGATACATTTAGGACATTTAGGCGACAGGGCAATCTCTCCTCTTTCGGCATTTCCATGCGCGGCAACATGTATGAGACTCACTGAAGGTATCGCTTGAAGCACTGCCTGCTTAGTTGCAGACTCTCCTAACAAAGGCTGAACTCCCAGCAGTCGACCAACCATCTCTGCTTCCTTTCTAGCACAGAACAATGATACAAAGTTAGTGACACGTCCATCGTAATACACCTGGCCAACCGTAGGATCACCCACTACAAGTGCACCAGTTTCACTGTGATAATCCGCTGGACAATCATGAATGAGCTGGAGGGTCGTCAGAGAAGGGACGATACGGATTCTGTAAGTCTCTGATAGATACTTTCCGGCTGATTCATCACGCAAGGCAGCAAATGGGACTCGATAGGAGAAACGATCCGGCACAATGATGATTTCAGGCTCTGTAAGTAAATCTACCACAGGAGCGATGATCCATTTGTAACACAAATGATGAATTCTTTCGGTTTCTTTGCTTTCGTCACCGCGCAAAGTTGCTCGGCTCTCTTCAAAAAGAGATGTCGTTACGTTGCCATCCAAAGATCGATCTTCGCAATTCGCTGTGAATAAAACGCCAAAGCTGGCGGCGCTCTTTTTGAAAATTCCCTCCACGTTGCAAACATTCTCAGGAATGAGAGTGCTGTCTTTCACTTCGTCGGTGACTCGAAAGGAAATGTCTCCATTTGCTTTCAAAACCCAGAGACAAACTTGCCGCTCACGATACGAAATGTACAAAAAGACACAGTTACTCTCTTTTTTCACGATGTTTTCAATCCCGAACCATAATTTTGGATCAGCCGAGATGTGGCTTTCAACGGAGAACTTCTCTGCCATGCATTCTACGAGGACTCTCGCTCGTCCCAGCTCCTCGACATAAAGAGCGTCTTGAAATTTGCCAGTATTGCAAAGCAAAGTAGTGAGCAAGTGATAAGGAAAACTACCGTGCTCTTCTAACAGAGATATTTCAAACTCTTTGTTTCCTTTAAGAAAACTCCTCAATTGTTCATATTTTCCAATACATTGAAGGAGATGTTCCTTTGCCTCCACAACCTGTGATTGCGATACCTTTAACTGTGTGATGCTGAGAAGGCTTCTAAACTCAGTCATTATGTCTCCAATTCCACTGCTTATGGAGCGAGCCTTCTCTAAGTAATCTTCTGCCTCGTCGTATTCACCAAGCGATCTAGATAGATTTCCGAGGTTGAGGTAACATTGTCCTTCCAGAGCTTTATCGCCACATTCCTTGCTGATGGTGAGCGCCTTCTGATAATGTTCTTTTGCTTTCTGATTGTCATTGATAAAAGCGAACACTACTGCCAAACCTGCGGAAGCGCATCCTTCATTTCTTCTTTCTCCAATTTCTGTACTGATGCTGAGTGCTTTGTCGAAATATTCTTTAGCTTGACGACATTTCCTAAGGCTGCAGTAAACGTTTCCAAGGGCTAAGTATCCTGAACATTCCTTTCCTCTGTCTCCTATTCCTTTTGCGATGGCGATTGCTTTCACGTGATATTCTTTGGCCTTCTGATATTCGCCAAGGGATTCAAACACAGCTCCGAGGTTCCCGTATGTTCTTCCTTCTCCATTTCTGTCGCCGATTTCTATCGCGATGGCAATTGCTTTCTCGTAATATTCTTTGGCCTTCTGATATTCGCCAAGGGAATGAAACACAAGTCCGAGGTTCCCGTATGTTCTTCCTTCTCCATTTCTGTCGCCGATTTCTATCGCGATGGCAATTGCTTTCTCGTAATATTCTTTGGCCTTCTGATATTCGCCAAGGGATTGAAACACAGCTCCGAGGTTCCCGTATGTTCTTCCTTCTCCATTTCTGTCGCCGATTTCTATCGCGATGGCAATTGCATTCTCGTAATATTCTTTGGCCTTCTGATAATCGCCAAGGGATTGAAACACAACTCCGAGGTTCCCGTATGTTGTTCCTTCTCCATTTCTGTCGCCGATTTCTCGCGATGGCAATTGCTTTCTCGTAATATTCTTTGGCCTTCTGATATTCGCCAAGGGATTGAAACACACCTCCGAGGTTCCCGTATGTTGTTCCTTCTCCATTTCTGTCGCCGATTTCTATCGCGATGGCAATTGCTTTCTCGTAATATTCTTTGGCCTTCTGATATTCGCCAAGGGATTGAAACACAACTCCGAGGTTCCCGTATGTTGTTCCTTCTCCATTTCTGTCGCCGATTTCTATCGCGATGGCAATTGCTTTCTCGTAATATTCTTTGGCCTTCTGATATTCGCCAAGGGATTGAAACACAGCTCCGAGGTTCCCGTATGTTGTTCCTTCTCCATTTCTGTCGCCGATTTCTATCGCGATGGCAATTGCTTTCTCGTAATATTCTTTGGCCTTCTGATATTCGCCAAGGGATTGAAACACAACTCCGAGGTTCCCGTATGTTGTTCCTTCTCCATTTCTGTCGCCGATTTCTATCGCGATGGCAATTGCTTTCTCGTAATATTCTTTGGCCTTCTGATATTCGCCAAGGGATTGAAACACATATTCGCCAAGGGATTGAAACTCCGAGGTTCCCGTATGTTGTTCCTTCTCCATTTCTGTCGCCGATGTCTATCGCGATGGCAAGTGCTTTCTCGTAATATTCTTTGGCCTTCTGATATTCGCCAAGGGATTCAAACAAAGCTCCGAGGTTCCTGTATCTTGTTCCTTCTCCACTTCTGTCGCCGATTTCTATCGCGATGGCAATTGCTTTCTCGTAATATTCTTTGGCCTTCTGATATTCGCCAAGGGAGTCAAACACACCTTTCTTTTGGTCCCGATTTCTATCGCGATGAATATTCTTTGGCCTTCTGATATTCGCCAAGGGATTGAAACACAGCTCCGAGGTTCCCGTATGTTGTTCCTTCTCCATTTCTGTCGCCGATTTCTATCGCGATGGCAATTGCTTTCTCGTAATATTCTTTGGCCTTCTGATATTCGCCAAGGGATTGAAACACAACTCCGAGGTTCCCGTATGTTGTTCCTTCTCCATTTCTGTCGCCGATTTCTATCGCGATGGCAATTGCTTTCTCGTAATATTCTTTGGCCTTCTGATATTCGCCAAGGGATTGAAACACACCTCCGAGGTTCCCGTATGTTCTTCCTTCTCCATTTCTGTCGCCGATTTCTATCGCGATGGCAATTGCTTTCTCGTAATATTCTTTGGCCTTCTGATATTCGCCAAGGGATTGAAACACAACTCCGAGGTTCCCGTATGTTCTTCCTTCTCCATTTCTGTCGCCGATTTCTATCGCGATGGCAATTGCTTTCTCGTAATATTCTTTGGCCTTCTGATATTCGCCAAGGGATTGAAACACAGCTCCGAGGTTCCCGTATGTTGTTCCTTCTCCATTTCTGTCGCCGATTTCTATCGCGATGGCAATTGCTTTCTCACAATATTCTTTCGCCTTTAGATACTCGCTGAGGATTAAACAAAGAGATCCAAGTCTCGCGTAAGCCACCGCCTCTTCTCTACGGTGGCCAATCGTTTTCATGATGGTAAGAGCGCTTTTACAAAGTTGCTTTGCCTCTGCAAACCAACATTTTGCCTTGTATTTGTCTCCCAGTTGTATGGTTAGTTCTCCAGCGAGGACAAACTTGTCAATAAGTTTTGTGGTGTATCGTGTTGCATTTGTGTAACCAGAGGTGGCGTAGAACACATTGAATAATACATCAGAGATATCATGATCAAGGTTAATACCAGAGTCAAGTTTGTGAAGTAGAAATAAACATTCATTACATAACTCGGTCGCTTGTAGGCCACGATCAGTGTTGAGAAGAAATATGGCGACATCCAAACCAATCTGGACTGATTTTAGGATTTCTGCTGCGTTATTCATTACGTCATGTCCTGAATGTTAAAAGAATTTCCCCAAACGTGAGAAAAGAATCAACAAAAACTAAGACTTTCTATAGATGCATGAGCGCCTCCTGTCTTTCTTGTTTAATTCAAGACAAGCTCTATTAATTTTTTTAACCAATTGATCGTCGGTTAATCCATTGATCGTGCTATGCTGGCGTTCAACTCACTGATTATTTATTTTTTACATGCCACACAATTAATTAGAACTGAATCTGGTCGCAGTGTTCTGTTTGAAAGTGACTTCCACTTACATTCATTAGAGGGGGAATCAAAATTAGCACCCTTAGCCATTAAAATTTAAATTCAACGCAAGACATTGTTAAATTGGTGTTTGTGTAACAAATTAAACGACATTAAATATGTTGAATCTACATCAACATTATCATTTTTGGAACTTCTACTGGGAAGACATTGTGAATAGAACGGGACCATTTTAGTGGGAGTGTATTCTACACGACGCGTCTCGCGCGTGCATTCATGTCATTCACACTGACCTCTGCAACTCGCTGTATCTGCCTGATAGGTGAAAGAACTTTCCTGAATAATGCTTTTTGCTCAGGAAGAAGATTTCCTCGGACTTCTAACTTCAACAGATGGCATTTATGTTATTGATATGTTTTGGTTTTGAAGAACAATTTTGACTTTTCCTGAAAAATCCTATATCTGTGATTTCTATCAGGAGGGAAGATGAAAGCGCAAGCTGTCCTTTCTTTCTTAGTGGACGGTAAGTGGCTGAATTTTTTTCTGTGGGACTATGAAGGGGTTAGTTTCTTCTTTCCCATCCCTTGTGCTCACCCGTTTTTTCGCCCTCATGCACCCCCCTATCACTCGCTCCAGCCGAGTGAGCGGCTTAAATCGGAAAGATTTTTACCGGATTAGATTTTCAATTTAGAATTGAAAATTACTTGAAAGAATACAGTACATATAAACCTTCAACAACAGAAAAATTAAACGAGATAGATGTTTCCTTTTTTGTCATTTTTTTAAAAATATTTTGCCTACCTGAATGTATCCTCAAATTTTTTAAAATCATTCTCTTCATACTTTATGGCAAGAGATTATAAAATTTTGGTTATGGTAGTTTTACCAATGTTGATATTTTTTACCCGCGCAGCCAGGATGGTCAACATGCGAGAAGGTTTTCTTGTTTTACTTTGGTAATCTATTTTGATAACTCTTGCAGTCTCGAAAACTTTCAATTGTCTTTGATATTTCTGTATTTCATTGCAGTATCATACCAAAGCTATCAAATTGACTTTCAAAATCCAGGGACTTAATTTGCCTCTAATCTCTTGCTCTTCATTAAATTCTTCTGTACTTAAATCTGATTATGAATCGAGACAAATCAAAACATCTTTCATTGATCTAGGGACGTTCTTCTACGCCACACAGATCTTGTGTCGTCTGGTAGCAGAAATATTTGATGGAAATAAATTCAATAAAAAAAGTTACATTCCACTGTAAAACGAAGTGTGAAACCACTCAATGTCTCCAGAATGTTCAGATAAATATATATGTGTTGGTATTTCTAACCTTGTGTCCCGTACAGATAAAGCCGGCGTGTCAGTATCAGAAACTCGCTTTTGAGATGCGTGAAATCATACATATAAATGCCGTTGATCTCAATGAGCTTGTTAGACATGGGATTTTTCGCTTTCCCTAGTATATTTAGAGACTTAAACAGTTAAATTGCTTTGTTAAATATCTTTTGTTAACTCTATCAGTCTCACTTGCAGAACGTTCGGTAGTTTCCCTGGTTAGTTCTCTTGGTACAGCACTTTTACAACTTAATTGACGAATAAATAAATCGAGAACCGTCAAATCGTCTCTAAAAGAACCTGGGAACTTACTTTCTTGATACTGAATTCCACCTCTAACAAATGTCTCGTTTCCATTACAGGAGATAATGCTATTGCGTGACGCAGATATTGTTCATGCATCGCGTTTCAGACTAAATTTCATGGACATGAATTGAATCTAAGACATTTCATTCGATTGAAGATGAAATGATAGAGAGAGGCGTTTGACGCATTTGTTCTTTTGTTTTAAGCGGAAGCCCCGTCCTGATGAAATGCATCGAAACCGAGTCCGTGTTCTAACCCTTGGTTTGTGATGCAGTAAACCAAATGTATTACGCATGTCACTCATTGCTAATCAATCTTTTCAACCTCCCTTTTAAAATCTTTATATAGGCCTATCGTTGACAGGCAACTGAAACGTCTAAAAAGCGATTGGAAATCATCCGTTAGCTTTGTTTTCTAGGCAAAGGGAAATTTTCCCCTTGTAAAGGATTCCACTCGTGTTTTAATACTTAAGTTACTCATGTACCAACTTTTCCGAACGTTTTTTATAGTCAGTTAAACAGTACTGTCAGTTTTTATTCGTGGAAAATGAAACTAAGGAAGCATTGACAATACAGGGCCAAAAATGGGAAAAAAATCTCACCTTTGAAAACAGAAAATGTCTTCTTTAGTCTCCCGATGGTGTGACTGATAAAAACATAAGTAAGAGAGTGAAATTAGACTTTCGCTGTCAAACAAACGTTATTGCAAATAGCTAATATAAGAACGTTTTACTCACACGTTTGGTAAGAAGAAACCATTAAAAAAAACTAAGGAAGAAAATTTTTTTCTAGATTGCCTATAAGAAAGAAATAAAAAAACGCGCTGAGTGCATTGTTAAGTCATGTAAGCACGCGGGAATTTTTTATGGACACTCGAGAAGTGCGAACAAGCCGAGCCGAAGGCAAGTGCTTCTCGCACTTCTCGAGTGTTCTTAAAAATTCTAAAGTGCTTATATAACTCAGCAATGCTCGAGGAACAAGCTTTTTTACTTCCTTGGAAAATGTATCGTGAATTGCGCGCGCTCGTACCTTTGACGTAGGCTGCGTGCATTATATCTCATTATAAAATAATTCAAATAGTACGCGCGCTCTGATTGGCCATAAAACCATTTTACATGAGCGTATGTAAACACGGTTTTCGTTCCTTTTTCATTAGTTATTTTATAAAAGAAATGTAAAATGGTTTCCGTGTTTACATAGCCTGATGTAAACACTTGGGAGGTTGGGAGAACACTCGATATAAGCTGGAAACCACTCCGCTTCGCGTCGTGGTTTCCTACGCTTATCTCGTGTTCTCCCAACCTCCCAAGTGTTTACATCAGGCTATGTAAACACGGAAACCATTTTACATTTCTTCAACAGTGCACTCGTGTGACGTAAGGCGCGTGCTTTATGGAAATATAATGAACTCGTTCTGACCAGTTACGGCGCGCGCCATTTCTCTGAACATTTTATAATATATATAAAATAACATGCGGGATCTTCGTATTTTGTATCTTTAAAGAAATGATGGAAATGTAGTTTCTCCTTACAATATCAAGATACCTTACAGAAATCAAGTGGTGAGAGTAAACTGATCGATCAACAAGGTTTTATGTCTATCATTAAGATATAGCAAATCTATATTTTAGCGCTAAATATTTCTGAAATAAACTTTAAGCCGCTCACCTTTGGAAAAGAAAGGATATCTGGATAGTTAGGAAACCGAAGCAAGATATGAAATTATCTGTACAAAGAAAAGACAAGTACAAAGAGTTACTGCTGGATCGAATATTAAAATGATCGGTTTAAATAATTGTTATAAAAATCTTAAGGATGGATGTTGGATTACAACTTGCTCGTAAGATCGTCAGTAAATATTGGAGCTCCTCGCATATCATTGATAAGAGCTTAGTGGTTTTAATCGCGCTTTGACCGATTTTTTAGACTTTCAAGTCACAGAAGTGAGGAATATTTTGCTTTTCTTTACAATATCAACATTTCATCCAGCGAATAGGTGGCGAGAATAAGATACAATACCAGACTCTCCCTAATGACTAGCAAAGTCATGTAAAGGAGCTTAAAGGGAGAATTGCTTATAAGATAAACTTTTGTTAGATTGTTTGAAACAATAAAAAGTCATACATCATTAAATTTCCCCATCATCACATCAGCTACTCATAAAGATATTTCAATTTTCTTATGACGGGAAAAGAATTATTGTTGCTAAATTTAGTTTTTCAGCTGTAAAGCTTTGAAAAAATAAACATGGGCTGTTCAGGGTGCTAGTTGTTTACGTGATGAGACTGATTGCAAGAAACAGATAAATGCAAGTTACTCGGTTAAGAACAAAGTGCTGAGTTTGATTGGTTAACAACATCACTGAAAAAGTAAGTCTACGACGTGTAAACATTACTTCTTAGTTACGCCATCAGGTGCATTGTACATTATTTTGGCTTTTTCTTTTTTTCTGGTCAGAATTTGCTGTTCTTGAATTTGATTTCTGTTGTGCCTGATTTGAGGCGGCGAAAATAGTTTTGAAAACGAGAAAGGAAAGAAAATTTAATTTTTCATTTGGCTTCTTACCCTCGCAAAAAGAGGAGTGTCTTGTTTAGTATTCTGACCGTATGACTTGGAAACAAGGAAAAACCAGAAACTGAAATCACCAGAAACCAGCGACTGAAACAATGCTTCTGCTGCCAAAAAGGATGATGACAACAGCTAGTGTGAAAAAAAAAATCTAAATCGGGAAACCTTATACAGCTTTCCCATACAAATACAGAGAAAATATTCCATCTTTAATCTCATTCTGTCACTCACAGGCTGACTTTTAAAAAAACTATTCAACTAATATCAAAAGTTGGTTTTTCTTGATGTAATACTATATTCTCTTAAATCATTCACAACAACATCATAGCACTTAAAAAGGAGAGTTAGAAGTTAGATCATGGAATACAAAGGCTTCACGTTGGATAAACCGTTTTATTTTATAGACTATTTAGGCAAAAATTTTTTAGTAAAAAATCTTTACCAAATCTAAGATTTTTTCGAGGTTACAAAAATTTCTCTGCCATCGAATGTTCATTGCAAAACATTTCAGTTTGTAAAGCGGGAAAATATTGTTTCTAAATCGATACCTTTTACTGCTCACCTTC